GAAGTAATCGAAGCTGTAAATGGTTATTTTGAGGAGCTTGACGAATCAGTCTATAGAGATGGCATTAATAGACTGGAACACCGCTATGAGAAATGTATCAGCCTTGGAGGAGATTATGTTGAGAAATAAAAAAAAAAAAATTTTAAAAACCTTGTTTTTCTTGGTCAGGCCGGAAACTTATCAATCCACCCTCGTAGAGATTAAAAATTATTCACCTGTTGAATTTTACGTTTTTATTTTCAAACATATATTTGTATGTGGGTATACACATGTAAGGTTTTTGCCAATGCCAAGGTGTTGACAAGTTCACGGGCTACAAGAAAAGTAACCTTCTATTTTATTCTAGTCAATCACCGCTTCTAGTAAGTAGAAAATTAAATTTCATTCATAGTTGCGAGTGAGTATAATTAACCATATGTGTAACCTGTAATTGTACTGTGGTAATGGGTTTGTATCCGCTGGTTTTGGTCTAGCTGTCTAGCACATTTACTGATCTTAGTTTTGGTCTAATTTTTGCGAGATCGCCTCTTGTTTTGGCATATCCCGGATTCTGTACCATGACTTCTCCGACGCGCCGGTTTCTATTGTTACAATTATGCTTTTGTTTCTTTATGTTACGTTCAAAAGAAGATGGATGAAATTTTTCTTTTTTTTTATTACGCATTAGCTAAGTATACTAATATCAAAAGTCAGATAAAGAAAGTGTAACTAAAGTAGTCGTAGGTCGGCTGCTTAAAAAAATGACAATGATGGATTTGAATATTAGGTTTATAATTTAATTTGTAAAATATTTTTTTATATTACGTCAATTTTATTTCATTAGAATATAAATAAGAAAAGTAGTTTTCATTTCCTTCCAAAATATATTATATCTAATAATACCTAGTGTGCATTAAACAATTTTAACAATTTAGATATTTACAGAAATAGAAATGTTTGATCCGTACAAACCAGTTCATCATTCTAGTAGCGGATTTTACAAAAAATGTGTATTTTTCACCACAAATTAATTCATTCTTTAATTGCTATGAATTACCACATAAAACAGACGTGTTGTTATTATTTTAGATATTGTTAGGTACGCGTTGCAGTTCTAAGAAATTGTTATTTTATATGTAAATAATCTATTGAAACTTGAAAAATAATAAGGTTGCACGTGATATACCTATAGATATAATTTGTAATGGTTTTACTTGAAACAAACTAAATTGGGTTTTCAAAATATTTTACAATGTTTAAATGTAGGGGCTGATCTAACAATTCAGTTTTAATCTCTTTAAAATCATTAATAATAATTTTAATAACTGCTTTTCTATACGCATATGTTGAAAAGTAATCCACCCTACAGTCCCTATTTCTCCTCTATTTGTAAGTGTTCGTTTGTTTTCTAGAAGTAAAAGCTAGAAAATTTCTTAGCGTACCTCGTATACACATTTAATACACCCTACAGTCCCCATTTCTCCACTATTTGTAAGTGTTCGTTTGTATTCTATAAGTAAAAGCTATAAACTTTCTTATTGCACCTCGTATACACATTTAATCCACCCTACGGTCCCTATTTCTCCTCTATTTGTAAGTGTTAGTTTGTTTTCTATAAGTAAAAGCTATAAACTTTCTTATCACACCTCGTATACTCATTTAATCCACCCTACAGTCCCTATTTTTCCCTCTATTTGTAAGTGTTCGTTTGTTTTCTATAGGTAAAAGCTATAAACTTTCTTATTGCAGCTCGTATACACATTTAATCCACCCTACAGTCCCTATTTCTTCTCTATTGTTTGTATTCATTTGTTTTCTGTAACTAAGAGCTAGAAACTTTCTTATTGCACCTCGTATATACATTTGAATTCCGTAATCCAAGATTCCACGTGATTTTGATAAGTTTTTTGTAACCTTATTTCAGATGTTATTGACCATATGCATAATAAAGTTATAAACAAGTACAAACTTGATCACATGGTTGATACGGATACAAAAAAATGGACCACTGTATGGCGTACACGGTAGTAATCGATATTTAATATTTAAATAACCGCTTAGGATTAGATAAACTTGTATTTCTCTAAACTTCTAAACGAATAACTCAAAACGAACTAAAAATTGGATTAAAAAAAAAGAAAACGGTTTGGATGTATTTTTTTGTGACAAGTACGTACGCTTTTAAGAATTACAGACAGATTATATTTTTAATTAACACGTAATAAGTACTGATAATAGACATCGATAAATACTTTAAATAAGTGTTTTTCTAATAATTTATATCAATTTCGGCGACGTCTTTCAATTATTTTATCAAGTCATTCTTGTATTTAAAATATTTTTAAAGAATACAGGGTATTTGAGGTTAGGAAAAAATCAAAATGGCGGACGGTAGCCATCATCATCATCAATTATTAACCTTACCTAGAATGTTTTCTAAACAAAACTCTACGGAATTCCCTGTGGAAATTTTAAATATTAAACCGGTTGTGTTAGTTATATAACTCTGTAACACCAAAATTGAATTTTACACATCAATAGATGAAACGTTTATAGGTATGGTGTAATTAGCATTTGCGGTAATTACAACAAACGTTGTTAATTTTATTGTTTCTTTTTTGCATGTTGTAATTTATTAAAGGAAGAAGATTATTATGGTTAAAAGCAATAAAGTTTAATTATTTACAATGTTTGCAATGCATTTTAAACTAATAAAACTTAAATTGCATTTCAAGTGTATTGACGATTGTGATAAAAAATGTAAGAAAAATAAATTTTAAAATCATACTGACAATGGGTTTGCCACATGATAAGAAGTGGAAGTATCATGTGATTTTAACACTTTTATTCAATTAAGTGGTAGATAAAATATAAAAATTAATAAATACATCCTAAAGCGGTTATAATGAATGGAATGCTAATTAGTAATTACCTATGTAATTAAAGTGTCACAACGTTAGACAATATGATCAGAAAAAGTCACAAAATATTTATGGTGTGTTAGATATTATAATAAATTGTAAATAACTTGGCAGGTAAAAATTAGGTCATGTTTGCCTTTGTCTATTTTATATAATGTAAAAATCAAATGCATATAAAATTGTTCATTAAATCAACAGATAAAAGTGTAAGGTCTAAATATTGTACATTACGAGTGAAGTCATGTCAAAAATAGAAAGAAAAAGTGAATAAGTCGTAAAATTATTAAAATAATAACTAAATAGAAAACGATAAAATTAAGTTAGAATTGATGCTGACGCAAAATATTTTCGAAACTTTAGTAACTATAGCACTTACCACAGTGTTTTGGAAGCCAAGTCCCTCTTCCTCTGCTTCTATTTTACTGGAGACCATTTTGATTCCTGCTTCTTGTTTTTCTCTTGGGAACACGACGTTATTTTCTTATTAACAACTTAACATCAAGTGAGCCGATTGTTAAAACATTTGAAATCACTGAAATAACACGTGAATCGGAAAAAAGTTTGTTGTTTTATTCAATTGTCACTTAATCTACAACACCGGCTTTTGTCGACACACCGACACGGAGCACTATTTTAAAATATATGAGAAAAAAAATGTGATAAACGCGAATTTATGAATTCATTCAAAATAAAGGCGGTCTCCGCGGTCTCGTTCCAAGGTTTCCTTGATGATCAGGGCGGGAGGATCGCCATTTGCTCTTCATTTGTTGCGTGTACTATCATCACAAAAAAAAACTCCTTTTTCTTCCTTTTTTTTTTATCTGCAACACAAACGAATTTATTTATTATTATAATGAATAGTAATTTGCTTGTTCAAGGCAGCCGCGACTAGGTGTAAAATTTTATGTTCTGCAACTAATTACTCGTGCAAATAACTAACACCGTAGCGAACCGTCGATCGATAATAATCAGTGATCTACGCACTCCGATCAATTAGAACATTTTCAGATCAGCGAGAATTAGACAAATTAACATTACGTTAATAAACCGATAATCTTTCAAACAATAGCTTATTGTGAACATTTCTAATAGAATTAATCTTACAATTACTGATGACTCCGATAATACATAAATCAAGATCAATTTCAGTCTGTTTACTTTAAAATGAATACAGTAAAACGTATCTCCAAGTTTTTTCTAATTTATTAGATAGGTAATCTTGTTTGCAAGGGGGGGGGGTAGACATATACCTACCTAACAAAAAGAATTATTATTCCTACATTTTTTTGATATAGTATTCGTAAACTAAACACTTGACTCACGATTTTTGATAGGTCTAACGTAATAAAGCTTATTTTTTTTTTAATCGGTTTTTTAATTAAGGTGTGATAGGTTCAGGTTTCTCCTTCAATANGTTCTACTACGTTATTGTAATAAAATGGACAAATATTGCCCCAGGGTAGGTGAGATATCAAGTAAAAAATTATAATTACGCATGTGTTTTATCGTCGAACATGACCGAATGGATATAGATCTATTTCAATATTCAAATTGAATTACAGTATCAGTTCTAATGCGAATCACGCAAAGCGATTTACGTATGGCGTATGTGCATGTAAAATAAAACGGCAGATTTGGATTCTTTATGAAATTGTGGGAAACTTTTTCCTTTACTGTTTTTCAATAGGATATGTAGTTGTTGAGTAATAAGCAAACAAAAACTGAAACAATTGACCAATCAGAGCCCGTGTGGTGTTCTGCAAGTAGAAGAACTGTTGTATACGCCTACTTGAACTTGCAGAAATAGCAGCGCGTTATTATTGGTCAATTGTTCCAATCTTTAAACGTTAATAACTTGATAGTTATTGGTCGGATTGAAAAACTTCAAAAGAAAGTACTCTTTAGAATTACATTTACTTAAGTTTAAAATATTCTTTTCTTCAGTTTAGCAACAAATAGTTCTTCTTTATGGTTCCTTATTTGCCTTTGTCACTCGTTTTAATTGGAAAAAAGACACTGATGCCAAAATAGTTTGTTTAGCGTGAAAGATCAGAGCCAAAATAGGGTTGCAAATAATTTTATTGATGTAAAATCAACATCGGTCATTTTATATCAAAATATTTACAACCCCATTTGGTTTTGATCTTTTACACACTGTAATAAGAGAAAGAAATGGAATCCATAGTTCCTTTAGCTTTGGGTTCATCTAATGAGTGAAGTTTTTCGAATCGTTTTTTAAGAATTTTTGCAAGTATTTCAAATAAATCGCATCTTTGCATACAAGTAAACAAATACAGAATGTTCAATTGAAACTAATTATATTAATTGATAAAATCGAGTCTCTATTTGAATGAAAATTTTATAAAAACAAATGAAAGTAATTTTTTATAAAGGTAACTATATAATGTGGTGCAATTTTCGAAAGAGTGTAGCAGTTATGTTTCATAGGAAATTGTTTATACAAATTTATATTGCGTGTGTTTGTGTTTTGAACAGCGAAAGGTTTAATATAATAATAGCTTTGCGTGAACTCTGCTTTTAAAAAAGTCACAATTTACAACCGATGCCAATAACAAAAGTACACCTTAATATATCCTTGCAAAACTAAAATTAACCGACAATTTACCGTCGACGGAAACCATTTATACCATTTATCTAGAGTTTAATTAAAACTAATCGCATATTAAACTGTAATACTATAATTTGATCTATCTTGATCTATCACAAGTTATAAGAGTAGGAATCAATTCGCAATTTTTTTTTTAATGTCAAACTTGCGATTGTTTTTGTTGACAAATTTATTTTGGGACCCAATATCACTGATTCCGGGTAAAAAGTTTTAAATATTGGAATTGGCAAGCGTTTTGTTGCCAATTTAAAAAAAAAAAACATTAAAATATTTAAACAAGTGCATCACACCCAAGCAAAGGGCTTTGCTATGTTGAACTAACGGAAACATACAAAAATGCGTCCTTAGATAACGGATGATAAAAAAAAGTTTTATGGGAGTTTAAATAATCGTATGATTTCGCGAATGTCAATGTCTCCTTATTCAATGTCAGCGGAATTTTTTTGCTTGTTTTAAATTTCAAAAGAGCATGCATCAAGCGACATCAATTACATTATTTATTGTTATTATAATATTTATGCATAATAACCTGTCAAACCCGTAAATGTACGTAAATAACACACATTGGTGCAATATTTTTCCAATTTAAAACATTCTTTGTGAAATCGAAACCAAAAAAAGTTAAAAATTTTTTGAAAAATTACCGCCTATAGGGGTAAAAGATTAGTATGCTTAGATTTGCAGATGATATAGCAGTTATAGTTAGTTAGAGGAGTTGAAGATAGTTTTAAATAAAATGGAAGCGGTGTTGACAAAACAGTACTGTATGAAAATAAATAAAAGTAAAACAAAAATACTGGTGTGCAAAGAAAGAAAAAGCAGGAAAAGAGGGAATATAAAAATAGGAGACGAGAAATTGGAAGTGGCTGATTTTAGGTATCTAGGAAGTCAGATAAGTCAGAACGGAAGGACTAAATGTGGGTGGGATCGAAAGAGGAGGTCTCCCTCACCACTGTATCATAAAAAGTTCGTGGCGGTCTCATCCCCATAAAAAGTTATAGGGGTTGAAAGTTGATTATTTTGACAATTTTCATACAATATAATTCAAATAAAATTCAATAAAAAAATATATTTTAGCGGGAGGAGATGGAGGATCGAAAGAGGGTGGTCACTTGAAAAAAACCCGATAACCTAACCTAACCTATCCTAACCTACCCTACCCTATTGATAAAGGTATTTAAATAATGTTTTATA